GGCGCTCCAAAAATTTCGATAGGCTTGCTCAAGGTTGTGCTGCTAGCCGTCGTACACTTATTTTGGGATCTCCTTTCGCCGGTTCCTAGGAAGGCTGCCATCAAGAGAAGAATGTTGTCCGTAACCTCTCGTCCTCACTTCAAAATTAGAGTTCCCTACAGTGAAATCTATGGAGCCATTGATGCAGTGTGAGCATTTGTTGGAGCATCCTTAGACCCACACAGCATTCCCATTCCGAGCTGTCTACACAGCACTTTCAACTCATAGAAATGAACTTGCTTGAACTACTGCTTTGACGTCTTCGATTTAAATCTTCACAAAAGTTAGGCCTGAGTCCTTTCAAAATACAGCAGCAGTGCAAAAAAGAGCATGAAAGGAGCTTTTCAATAGCTGCAACAGTACAGCAATCACAAGAAAATTTCTCGAAAAAAATGTTTAATAAAGTATGACACATTCAAAGCCAGCACTCCTTTCTGGGCAACCTGACATGTAGATTCTTAGATTCCAGCCGCGAACCAGCCTTGACGCGCAATTCTTGTTGCTAATTTCAAGTATTGAGAATGTGGGGATCATCGGAAAAAGATAATGAATCAAAGAAACAAAAGGGGTCATCTCTTTCGAGTCTTTCGGTCTGTGTCTGGTCCACCAATGGACCCCTAACGGATCCTTATCTTACACATACATCTCTTTTTCCGCCTCCTCAGAACTGCTGAATACGATTTTGGCTTCTCATATTTGACCAGGGTCAACCGTGACGTCCGCACATTTTCAGGAATTTCACGACCCCCCCCCCTCCTTCTTCAGTAGGGGGTCTCGATGCGACCCCTTACCACCACCATGAGACTCAGGAGGCTCCCCTATACAACACCTGCCTAGCCCACCCGTACCGCCACCCTCGCCATCATGGTTGTCTCAATGGTATTTGATTTGAGACCAGTGGACACAGCCAAGCTCCGCCCACTTTTCCTCTAAAAAGGCGTCGAGCGAGAGGGGATATTTCTGTGACAATGAAACGCCTAATTTTTTTTCTCCCACCTATTCTACCCCACGCTGTACACCAATTACTCCTCCGGAATCCCTCAAAAAAGCAATCTAAATCGTCTCGCCCTCCACCTCCACTTAACAAATTACTAATCCCACTCCACCACCCCTGAATACGACCCTCTTCCCAAAATCAACCACAAATGACTCCCTCCTTCGAATAGTGTGAACGCACGGTTGAACCTGTACCTAACACGCCAAGGTTGGAATCACAAAAAGTGCATTACATTACACGGGGTTGGCACAAACTATAGAAATCGTGGAGACTGCCACAGAATTTCTTCAAACCAAGTTGTTGGAGCAGTAGAGAGGATTCAGATCAAATTATGGAGCACGTGAGACTCTCAACTTATGAAGTGGTGCAAGACTGAGCAAACCGATCGCCTTCCTGCTTCGACGATTCAAAACCAGTTTGACTGCTGGGATCCTAACCTTACAAAAGCTGCTTAGAAACGAAGTCTCCCTTATTGTAGAAGAGAGGAAGATTTGAATGTGAATGATCAAACGTTCCTTACTGACCGATTATTGTTCATAGTCAGTATTCGAACTCATTTATTTTTCCTCAGATTCGAAGCTTTTCACTTGAGTTTCTTAATTTTCACTCACCGTCTAGATTGCGACTACTGTCGGAATGTTACATTTGCTGACGACGGAAAAAATGTCAGGAAAGGTAATGTGTGCCGAAGCTCTCCTCTCCTAGCAGAACAATGCATTCCAACCCTTGAAGAATCTGCTAAGCCTTGCAAAGAAACAGCAGGTAACGAAACTTAGCATGCCAGAAACTACAACTCAGCATCTTTCTGATGGCCAGTGCAACGCTTTCATTCGAACTATTTTTGATTATTCTGTTTTTTATCGCTGACTACAGCGATGGAATGCGAACACATGCGAAAACTGAGGTTCCGCTGATCTTTAGCCTAGTAGGTGCCAAAAAAACGTGCGGGGAAGAAGATTTCCGTAAACTCTAATCACTTGGTCTGCCGAAAGCCTATTTTGGCGCCAAAATACGCTGTGAACTTTGACCCCTTCGGCTTTGAACGGTTTAGGTTTTAGGCTGCAGTAACACCGCTATTGATTCTTGTTCTTCTCGATTGTTTGTTATTTAGCACGCACTCGATCTAACTTACTTTCAGAAAGGCAACTACTGTTATCGTTACAGGTCGTGTAAACGGTTGTGACATAGCTATCCATTTCTGTTGTCTGAAACAATTTGATGGTGCATAGTACACTACAGAATCTGAATAAGGA